AGTTTGGTACTTCTTCTTCAACCCCTTTAATATTTCTATATCTACCTATTTCACAATTTATGATAATTAAAATATATGTGTAATAATAATAATAATAATAATAATAATTCCAGGATTTACTGGGGAGACTAGCAAAGCATGCTGTGGAGGAGGAGGGCCATACAACTTCAACTCATCCGTACTATGTGGGGATGCAGGGGCAACGGCTTGTGAGAACCCTTCACAGTATATCAACTGGGATGGCACGCACTCTACTGAAGCAGCATACAGGTTGATGACCAAGGATTTACTACAAGGAAATTACACCTTTCCACGCCTTGCTTCCTTGTGTGTTTCACAAATGTGACTGAGTGACAGGAGAAATACTTGTGTGCAACGGACTCGGACTTGAGACACAGTTACCAATAGCTAGCTAATGAAGAAGTCCTATTTATTTTTGGTTTTACCATTTAATATTTTAAATAATAAGCTTTTTGACTAGCACACTTGTGTTCTTAAGTTCGAACTTTCATGGTGTTGAAGCTGTTAAGTCTTCTAGCTTTTTAGGATTTGTTTTAAGTAATGGTGAATAATTCTTATTTTTGAGGGACACGTTTGTTTTGTTGCATTAGTTGTTTTAAGTAATGGTGAATTATATCCCTATTCTTGAGCCATCTTTGTTTCTCACCAATCGTAACAAATTTGGTTGACTACAATTACTACAAAAGCACAGTGGGGCCCTTAGCATATCTAATAAACATTTTTTTTTGGCCATGATATCCAATCAACTTTAGTCAATTACTTACATTTTATTACTTTTATTTGTTGGAATATTTTATTACTTTTTGATAGGGTTGGGCATTTATACCCAAAACTCGACAAACCGGTCAAATTGGATCGGTTTTGGCGGTTTGGTTTAGTTTTTCAATTAAAAAATCAAAAATCGGAAAAACAATTGGCCGAACCGGCATTGAACTAGTCAGTTTAATTTATCTGAAGCAGCGAAAAATCGACCGAACCAGCCTTCTTTATTTTAATAAATTATATATATATATATATATAAGTAACCTTTTCCACATGGCAGCTTCACCCTAGTCAAAACTAAAAGTCTACGATGGCCTTCGCACACACACCAGATTCATCCTAACCCTAACCCCACCTTCGTCTTCTCTTTTCTCTAATCGTCGCCGTCGTCATCTCTTTCTTCTCTATGGCTATTTGCGATCTTTGTTCCTCCTCTATTCTCTGGCTGCCTCTCTCTCTCTCTCTCTTCGTCGTCGTCGTCGTCTTCTCCGCCGAAACCCCACCGCACCGGATCGAAACTCCAAGATTCTTTGCTCCCAATGTAACCAAAAAAAAGAGGTGTCCCTTTAAGTTTAGTTGAAAGGTAGTTGTCCTTGATTGTGGAAACTTGTGGTCTTGCTCACTAGGACCACCATCACTAGTATTTATTTCAATCAGTTTATTGGGTAAAGACCAATATCTAGTTGAAAGATGCCCAAAATATTTAAAGCTCAACTAAACAGCTAAACCGCGACGTAAAATTACAAATAAGTACATAGCCTATGCTAAAAGTTATTTAACCAATAATATGTAATGAAACACAAACAAAAACCATATCCCTCTTCCATTACTTTACAAAATGAAGCTGTTTATTCTTCTAGCATCTCTATGCCTGACTTTGAGCACAGTCTCCTCAAGTCTTCAACCATACGAGGCAATTTTCAACTTCGGTGACTCCCTTAGTGACACCGGAAATTTCCTCCTCTCTGGTGCCCTTGCATTCCCAGTCATCGGAAAGCTCCCTTATGGAGAAACCTTTTTTCGAAGTGCAACCGGCCGGTGCTCCGATGGACGACTTGTAGTTGATTTCATTGGTAAGCCCCTCCTCCTCCCCTTCTTCTCTCTTTTTTTATACAATGGATAATTTAAAACCATTCTAAATTAATCTAGTTTACGAGAAGGAAATTAAAAGTGTAAGAGAGCGAGCTCATTGTCCTAACCCACATCATCTGTAATATATAAATATACATTAATTTGATTAATTTGGCATGTGATGTGAATTAAATGAACTTTGATAATGTTGTAGCTGAGGCATTTGGGTTGCCACATTTGCCACCCTACCTGGCACTAAGCAAAGGCCAAGATGTGAAGCATGGAGTGAACTTTGCTGTTGCTGGAGCCACCGCGCTTGACCCACAATTCTTCTACCAAAGAAAAATCGGATCCGTTATGTGGACAAACGATTCCTTGAGCACTCAGCTTGGTTGGTTCAAGAAACTTAAGCCCTCACTTTGCACCACCAAACAAGGTGATCACAAAGTCTAGAGATCAAACTAACCCACAAACCTAGTTTCTTAACTTAATTCACATGTTAAATTTGATTTTTCCACAGAGTGTGACAACTACTTCAAAAAGGCTCTGTTTCTGGTGGGGGAGATAGGTGGAAACGATTACAACTATGCCTTCTTTGTTGGTGGAAACATTAAACAGCTCAAGGCTTCTGTCCCATTTGTTGTTGAAGCAATTACTCAGGCCACCAGTGTATGTATATATATATATACACAAATATTACTTAAATAATAAGTTTTTGTATTTTTATATACAAGCGATAGTCTAAATTAATCTAATTTAGAGAAAGGAGACTCGAACTTGATATTGTATGGAGGCTGGTCCAACTCGCCTAATCTATGTCTGCAGTTAAATAATAGTAATTTTACACCAAAATGTTCACATAATAAATTACTGTGGCAGGCATTGATAGAGGAAGGAGCAGTGGAGTTGGTGGTGCCTGGAAACTTGCCGATTGGGTGCTCTGCTGTGTATCTGACTCTGTTTCGAAGCCCCAACGAAGCTGTTTATGATAAACGAAATGGGTGTTTGAAGGCGTTCAATGGTTTCTCTAAGTACCACAACAGTGAGCTCAAGCGTGCCCTAGGGGCACTTAGACTAAAATACCCTCATGCAAGGATTATATATGCTGACTACTATGGTGCAGCCATGCCTTTTTACCATGCCCCTCAGCATTATGGCAAGTTTTATAAATTGAAACTTCCGTTTCCTCTGCATTTCATTTATAAATGATGGTCAACTGGGCTAACTCACGTATGCTAAAATTATAGTATTATTTATTTTTTTTAGGGTTCAAAAGTGGGACATTAAGGGCTTGTTGTGGAGGGGGAGGGCCATACAACTTCAATAATTCAGCAAGGTGTGGGCACATTGGATCAACAGCCTGTAAAGATCCATCTTCCTATGCAAACTGGGATGGAATTCACTTAACAGAAGCAGCTTATGGGTACATTGCCAAGGGCTTGATCCATGGCCGTTTTACCACACCCCTCTAGGCTCTAGTTTTGTAATACATTAGCTACACTTTGCCTTTGTCTTACAATTGGTTCCTTTTATAGATTGCCATTGTTGGTGTGTGTGGGCGCCGCGCGCGTGTGTAATATATTACCATGAAGAAATAAGTTTACCATTTTGTTCAAAATATATGCTTAAGATGTTACTTGTGAAGCAAACAAGGTGACAATGGCCATCCGAAAGTACAATTCAAACTGTGATCTGTTTTGTTTCAATTTTACTTTGTACAGAGACTGGCAACTATTACTTCAGAAAGGCAAGGGTTTCTCGTGTGGGGGGGTAGGCATGGGAGATAAGATGATTTGATTACGCCTTCTTCGCTGGTGTGTAGAGCATTAAACAGCTAAGAGATTTCGCACCCCCCTAGTTGTTGAAGCAATTACTAAGACCACCACAGTATGCTAACATCAATCATATTCATGGCATGAGGCAGTTAATACTCGTAACGTCAAAATATGATGACATCGTATTTGTTATTTATTGCATGGGGTCTAGTGGCCAGAAACATAATAATAATACGCTCAAGAAAGGAGGTTAGGCTTCAGGCAGTCAACTGGTGAGAAACCAATGCTCAACTCAAGAAAGGAGGTTAGGCTTCCGGCAGTCAACTGGTGAGAAACCAGTGCTCAACTCAAGAAAGGAGGTTAGGCTTCCGGCAGTCAACTGGTGAGAAACCAATGCTCAACTCAAGAAAGGAGGTTAGGCTTGGTTCCGCGAACGACAGGATTTTAGAGATGTCGTTCAGTCTAGCCCAACAAAGAAAAATAAAAAAGATAAGGGTGGAGATGCGGGGTATCGATCCCCGTACCTCTCGCATGCTAAGCGAGCGCTCTACCATCTGAGCTACATCCCCTTTGTTGTTCAGAGCTTCGGATATATTTTATATAACCACTACTAAATTGAGTGTTTCAAAGAAGTAGTGTTTGTGCCCTCTGTATATTATTATATTCCAACAACTACACAAACCAACGGTGTCTGCTAGCTTTTGTTTCAACCTTATTGTTTGTGTAATTTATCATTTAATATACATCACAGTAAATAAATAAAAATTAAGTTTAGTTGGAATGTAGCTGTCCCCGAATCCAGTTGAAAAAACTTGTGGTCTTCTTGATGATATATCATGATTTTGAAATTCACACATGATATGAGTCATACTAGCACTGGCACGTGCCTCCAACACACAAACAAATTATTCACTAAAGACAACACGAACTAAGCCCCAAATTTCCAACTTCACCTTCAACAATATTATTAACCATGACCAAGGTTCGTCAAGTCTCCATTTCATATAGATAAACTTATGCTCCTTTATAGATAGCACGACATTAATAAGATGTGAGATTCTCCGATAAGTATTTTATGTTAAGGATTAATTGGTTACATATTTCTAATATCGATGTATTTTGTATATTAAATTTACCAACACATTTAATGAATATAATCCGACAATTGAAATTAAAAATATATAATAAATTCTTAACTTAAATACTTATTGGAGAATCTCCCCTAATAAGATTATAGAAACAATATGGGACTTCAAAATTGGATATGGTTGTAGCTTAGGTATTTGGGCTAGCACTATGAGGTTGTAAATTGGGCTTCCTGTTGCGAAAATATATGGGCAGGTTTTGGACAAAATAATTACCAAATTTAGGTTTTTCATACAACTCAACCCAAATTTCAACATACAGACTTTTCACTTTTCCTTTCTTACAAGTATCGCACAACTGAAACACGACTGATGCATAATAATTCAACCTAAAACCTATGGACAGAACCACAAAAACAGAAATCATCTTCTAAATACATGATCAAACGTAACCCAACGAAAGAAGAAAAACAATCGAGATTAAAAATCAGCATCATCATCATCCTCATGATCCCTCAGCACCCAAGAACCGTCGTCCAGCTGGGTCATGCACTTGTCCTTCTCACACCGCCAAGACGCCGGTATAAGATACTCCTCCTTCAAAGCATCAGCACTCTTATTCACCAGGGCTATGTCACGCTTAACTTCCAACTTGAACCCTCCTTTGCTCCCTTGTGTTCCTGCAACTCCATGCAAGTACCCTTCCAAGTTATGCCAACTTGCCACCCCTCCAGGGCTCTTCAGGTACTTGGATTTTCGAGTGTCGATGGCCAGCTCTTCTCCCACGTTCGAGTAACCCACTAGAATTGGGTAGTTGGGGACAACATCTAAAGCATTACGAACGCGTAAGGCTCGAACATCTTTGTGCCTGGAGAAGACCTTCTCAAAGTTTGAGTCTCCAACTCGAGGGCTGGCAAAGACAATGGCTGTTACTGGACAGGCTTTGTTTGGTTGCTCCTTTGGCCTGTTTACGCCATTGGCAACAATGTCAACTGCGTTCAGTGTGGCAATTGCTGCACCCAAACTGTGCCCTGTTATTGTGATGCTAATTTCCTCATCCTTGAATTGCTCTACTAGTCTCCTAACTTCTTCAATAACCTGGATATATAAATGTAAAACGTCAGAAAACATTACATTTGCATGTAACGTTCTTTTGTCAAGTCTTGCATGTTATGTTAATAGACTGTCAATATGATTATACCTGATATCTGGCACTGGTTTTGTTGAAAGGCGAACGCGAATCATCTGAAGTATAGATGGAGTACCAACCTTCATGCACCTTAGGATCACCGTCCTCACCAAGTATTTTTGAGGCAGAAACCAAATTAAATTGCAAGTCATTAACCCACTCCAATGACTGCACAGTGCCTCTCCAAGCAATCACAATGTCCCTCCTGCCTAACGCAGCCTTCCCTTCATCTGTAGCCACAGCAACGTACCCCATCCAATTTGATTCCTTGCACCAAGACTCTCTTGATAGAGACTTAATGAGAAAGGCCTCAGGGACTTGAATTTGTGAGGTTGCATACACAAATTTGGTCACATTGTACTTAAAAGCATTGCCTTTCTCTAAACCAACTCTAGAGAAAAAATTCTTTCTGGCATATCTGCTGCTTCCAGCATACTTTGCCTTCTCTGTGTTGAAGGCATCATAAGTAGCTTGAGCCATTTCTCCGTAGTGAATTATGTAGCGACGGAGATCAATGTCAAGAGGATCCAACAGGCCCTTCCAGTTGTTCTGGCCACTTAGATGCCTCCATTTTTTGGCTATGCTATGACTGCTATCCATTTTTTTCTTCAAACCAAACATCCTCGTGATGAGGACGAGTCTTGTTGCCTTCTTTATACAGACTCCGTGAAAAACTCTAGAATGCATTTAGAAACAAAAGATATTCAATGCATCACCTTGACTTTCGTAGCTTACTTCCTCCCTGTGAAATCATGGCTGGAAGAAAACATTGTGATTGGTGACAGCAATTTAGAAGTTTTGAAATCTTAGACAAATTGAGACGCTAATGTTTGATCCGTGTGGCCAGAGATTGGTCTCGTAGTCTCATAGTCTAAAAGGAATGAGGAAAACAAGTTCAACCCAAGAATAGGAAACTTTGAAGTAAATTCTGTTAATTTTGTTGCTGCAAGCAAAGTGATTGCATATCTTGGACATTAGGCATATGCCAAATCCGATGAAATCCCATTTCTCTAAGGCAGGTTAGATTCCCCTATTCTTGGCTTGGAAAGTACAAGCAATGAAGCAAAATCAGCTTCCTCCTCCACAGATAATTTGGTGGTTGGCAACTTTATTAAGTTCAAAACTTTGTCTTCATGTAGTTCTAAAATTGAAGCATATCTTTTGCCAATGTATGCGGCATGGGATGGGCTAAAACTCCTTTAAGATGGTTTTCTGCAGGCTTTTTCTTAACGGTTGGTCCACTTAACAATTGACAACAAGAAGGAGATGGATCATCTTTTTTTTGTTACAAAAAGAGAGAAGATGGTGATGGCCTTTGCGTTTGCTTTTGCTATAAGGAAAACATATATCTTTGGTATAAGTATGATGTTGGCAAGTTAAACAAGGCAAGCCTTGTACATTTTGGATATATATATATATATATATATATACATATTGGATGATATATAAGAAGAAGAATAAGCATGATGTAACCAAGAGTAATGCTACTCTTATCACATTTGTATACCACCTTATGTGGCAGATGAAGTAAACAGCCACATTAATTAAAAAGTGTTAATAAATCATAAATAAATAAAATATTAAATTAATTTTAATTGATGTGGCTGTCCACCTCATCTGCCACATAAGATGGTATTAGAATATGATATACAAATCTAGTAAGAGTAGCATTATTCCATAACCAATGGCGTACGTCCTAGGAATAGATAATTAAGTTGGCAGCTTTCTACTAAAAAGCCTTAGCTTTTGACTCTTCACTTTGCAATGTCCCCATACCTAGATTTGGATAAGCTTATGGTACGTAATGTACTCACTCACATCTTATAATAAAGGCAATGGATGGCGAAATCAACACTATGGCCCCCAAAGGTATATACATTGTTAAAGCCCATTGGGTTGAATCGCAGTTTTAGACACTATGTTTTCTTTTACTTTCTTCAATAACGTAAAAACAAAGTGTTACTAGACTAAATCATCGATTTATTGCGTAAACTAAGTGTCATTAGACTAAATGATCGTTGCGTTTTGTGTTTTTTTTTCTCTTGGATCATGGTTTTTAACATGATACATGGACTAATTATCATGGGTTTTCAATCTTATGCAAGACTAAGGAGATCAAGATAAGATTGAGGGATGAAAGTTTGGGCATGTAATTAAAAGAGTGACCCAACTCATCCCAAACCATCACCAAGTTGGTAATTTTCAAATTCAACATTTAAAAATAATAATGGTGGTGACTGGTGATGCTCTCCGTCGGATCTCACTAGTGTTTTTTTGTTTTTTGTTTCGTAGTTAAGGAAGAGGGAGTATTCGAACCGGAGACTACTCTCTGACTCAGGTAAAGACCCCATTGGCCAGTTCTCACTAGTTTTACTTGGACCAGTTCAGAGAACAGAGTCCTTTTAACTTTTTTTCTCGTTTCTTTTGGAAGGAGGGAGGGGGGTGGTGACCTTTTTGAACTCAAATCTTATTACGGGGATATTATTCTCCTGCACATAATACAGACATGCATACATAATATGGTTACAATCAGAAAGAAATGGTCAAGTCCCACCACCAACGTCCTATCCCATCACACCCCGTGACCAGCTTCCATCTTCACGAGACTTGTGTCCCTTTGCGACAAATCATCTCTATGTATATTTGCCGTACCCAATCAGTTTCTCATGTTTCAAGCTTTCTCTCTTCTAATTTATAATTTATACCCATGATTTTATGGTAACCTAGTGAAAGTTTTGTTCAACAATGTAAAATCCCACGTCAAAAAATTAACTAAATAAATTACATCATATAATAAGTAGCTCTGAGAGCTTTTGTGATAAAACTTATCGCTTACTGAACTTTATAAATATCAGACTGCAGCCTATGACTTCATTTGACGCTGGTCGTTGACCAAGTCTTTTCTTGATGCATTCAATTGAATCTGGAGATCCCAACTCCCAAGCAACTATAAGCCTGCCTTTTCAATTAACCAATTAATTGGTCACTAAGTAAGTAGTCTGGTTAATTGTGAAATTACTTTTGATCTTCGAATTCACAAAATGTATTTCCCTCAACTTCACTTTCATTAAGATTATTAAATTTAGATGAATTCGAGAAGATGCAGATGCATTATTAATTGGTGCTTCGTTGGCTTTTGCAACGTCTTCCTTATCTTGATGGGAAACTGTTAAGATGATTAAATTTGAAGCATATGCTTGTGCTTGGAGGACCACTTTGGATCACGTTACATTTACTCCCGGGGATTGTTACATTACTTTCACATATGCTTTCCTACACTAACCGCTCCTCACATTTATTTTTCTCATTCACAATACAATATATAGATTTCCAATTCTTCTCTTCTTCAAACAAGCTAGCGGTGCCACCCCATAATTCATGTGAGATAATATCCAAATTGAAGTTTTGGATAATTTTTTTTTTCTTTTACAAATTTGACGCTCTTAGAAATTATTATGAATATTTTTTTAATTTAAAATTGTATCTATATATAATTTTGGCCTAGATATTTGTACTTTAAGCCGAACTATAATTAGTCACACGCATACTCAAATGCAAATTAAACATAAATGGGTAAGCAAGGCAAGGATATTGACTAGCTACAAATCCCCTTATTGGTCGGGATAGCAAAATAGTTTTATCCTCCTGTTTCATGAAAGTCTTTCTTCTTTATACGAGAAAAACATAGTTACAATGAAAATAACACTATTTTGTAATCCTCAACCAATAATGTTATGTCATTTAGAAGTGTTATCACATACGTCATAACACCATTTCATGCTCAAATGCAAATTGAACAGAAATGGGTAAGCAAGGCAAGGATATTGACTAGCTACAAATCCCCTTATTGGTCGGGATAGCAAAATAATTTTATCCTCCTGTTTCATGAAAGTCTTTCTTCTTTATACAAGAAAAACATAGTTACAATGAGAATAACACTATTTTGTAATCCTCAACCAATAATGTTATGTCATTTAGAAGTGTTATCACATACGTCATAACACCATTTCATGGAAGTCTTTCTCCCTTTATACGCATTCTCATGTCATCCTCAAAGCAGCTGTACAGCTACCAACAAAATCCCACAGCTACCAATTCAAATGAACATGGACATCCTCTCTCTCTCTCTCTCTCTCTCTCTCTCTCTCTCTCTCTCTCTCTCTCTCTCTCTCTCTCTCTCTCTCTCTCTCTCTCTCTCTCTCTCTCTCTCTCTCTCTCTCTCTCTCTCTCTCTCTCTCTCTCTCTCTCTCTCTCTCTCTCTCTCTCTCTCTCTCTCTCTCTCTCTCTCTCTCTCTCTCTCTCTCTCTCTCTCTCTCTCTCTCTCTCTCTCTCTCTCTCTCTCTCTCTCTCTCTCTCTCTCTCTCTCTCTCTCTCTCTCTCTCTCTCTCTCTCTCTCTCTCTCTCTCTCTCTCTCTCTCTCTCTCTCTCTCTCTCTCTCTCTCTCTCTCTCTCTCTCTCTCTCTCTCTCTCTCTCTCTCTCTCTCTCTCTCTCTCTCTCTCTCTCTCTCTCTCTCTCTCTCTCTCTCTCTCTCTCTCTCTCTCTCTCTCTCTCTCTCTCTCTCTCTCTCTCTCTCTCTCTCTCTCTCTCTCTCTCTCTCTCTCTCTCTCTCTCTCTCTCTCTCTCTCTCTCTCTCTCTCTCTCTCTCTCTCTCTCTCTCTCTCTCTCTCTCTAATAATATAGCAAAAATATGGTGAGGAAATTACGAAAAGAAGGGGGACGAATTTCCCAATTCAACACTCAGCACAAAAATAAAGGAGTCTCAAGATTGCAGAGATTCTTACATACAAACGGGGAAGGGAATGTTATTCCTGTATCTGAGTGCTCGTGATGAGAGATGTAAATATACAATGATATATATATATATATTTCCGATTACACAAGATAATCTTTCCTCAAATTATGATTTATATTTTCCAACACTTGAGCCTTTGAAGGTAAGACAAGTGATCAGTTTAGAGAGTAATGTTCAGGGGAGATTAATAATATTAATGATGTAGGTTTTACTATGATTAACAACAAGCTGTTACATTAATTAAGACTAATTATAATTCAACACCTGCCAAAGACCTACATTGACTTCTCACGGCAAACAAACCAGTCAAAGCACAACAAACTCAAGCGAGATCTCGCGATATTATGGCGACAAATAGTGTACCAAGCCGACCGTTAGAATGACCTTTCTAGTTTCCAAAACTTCCCACTCTTTCTAAATCAATTTCATTACACCCTCACCATCCTTCAACTAAAGCCCCAAAGCCATATCACCCACCGCCCTAATCCCACGCGCCCCCAATAACTCATCAGATTTTTCAAAATCTTACCCACCAAATCCCTCTTCGCGCGTGGACTACTGCTTCGTCAAATTTTTTTCTAAAAAAAATTGGATCCGAAAAAAGAAGACCGTTCCTCGGTAACGGCGCCTTCTGCTTTTTTCCCTCTATCTTTAATTAATTTATCTATAAATTAAACTACTTATTTGTTTGTTTTTTTTCAATTATTATTTAATTTCAGTCGCAAACTTCTAGCTCGACAGAGAGAGCTTCACTCACTTTCTCCAACACAGAGACAGACGCACACAGACAGGGACGTCTTTGTAAGCCTTCGCTCTATAGAGGATTGCAAACAAGAGGACTTGAGAATCACAGACCCCAAATCCCAGAGGAGAGAGAGAAACCCCGAGGTTAGTGAGAGAGAGATAGAGTTTTGCAATGGTAGCTGGGAAGGTGAGGGCGGCAATGGGGCTGCAAAAATCGCCATCAAATGCGAAACCGGAGACTCCTTCGAAGTCGCCGTCGCCGTCGGTAAGCTCCGGTAAGGTCTCTCAGAAGACGGTGTT